AGAGATCACCACTTACCTAATATGCATGCCTAATGAAGGTCCCACAAACTTATAGATAATAGTAAGTAAATGAACTACTATTGTAGAAAACACGAGATTTAATAGAGTTACACATTGTTATATACTCAAATAGAGATGTTAATTAGTTCTTGGTGTTCATTATTTGGATGTGAGGTCGGGTATAATAACTACTGCTCCCCAATTCCCTCACCCCCCCCACGCGTAAAAAAAGGCCACAACAAAAGCTCACGCGCTCCCTCCCCTCTTATATAGACCGCCTCTAATATATAAAAGCAGCGCCCGCGCTCCCTTAGTTGATAAGGATATTCGGGGAGTATTAAAACTTTTCTGCTACCCCCCTACCTCTTCTTGCCTGCCCTATCGTTTTTAGTCAATATACCTTACAAATTCTCTGGCCACTTTTTGAGGCTGCTGTTGCGGCCGTTTCGTCTTTTTGATGATTTTCTTGTTTTATTAGAGAGTTTAAAAGTTCTTGGAAAGACAGTAATAGACGTTGAAAGAACTTAACACTGTTCTGCTTTTCAAAATCAAAAGAGAGAAGGGAGATATCTGTAGGTAATAAAATTCCCTTTTTTTCTTGAAAAAGTTAGGAATGACGTGAACACGCTTTTGTATAATAAAGCGCCCAAAAGCCAAAAAATTCCTGTCTTAAAATCATAAAAACAAATAATCTGTGTTTTGACGTCTCACTTTTGATTTTCATGCCTTTTAGCGACGTTTTTAAAATCACCTTCATAGGTTTTTTTTTTAATTTTTAAAAAATTTCCAAACCGTCAATAGTTGGCTTTTAAAAACGCCGTCTTATATTTCTTTTTTCTTTTTTTTTTTTTTTTTGGTTTTGAAATTGTGCTAATTTTATGTGATTGAACTAAAAGAACACCAATAATAAAACTAAATAACACTAATATGAAATAATAACTCCCATTCAAATAACAAATATAGCATTAATTCACTTTCGCATTCAATTTAATATAACATTAATTTTCCCACAAAATAACATATCCAAAAATTGAATTCACAATTTTCAATCAAAAAATTACTACCTTTATATACAAAGCCACAAAATAACATTACCCTCCTCTCTCTCTCACCACTCCCTCATTTAATACAAAAAATAAGAAGTGAACCAAAACACCCACTGTCAGATCCGAGGAAAAAAAGAAAAAATAAGATAAATAAAAAATCGAAGGATTTTAACACAAAAAATCCTGAAAAAATTGCTGGCCCTTTGGCAACTAATTCAGAAGTTGTGGTTGGATCCGATGACAATTTGGTAAACAACTTCTTCACTTGCTCAACAAGGTCCTCATGGTTCACAGCTCCAGAAGCAACAATTACCTAGAATAGTAGCTCCAGGTAGAACACCCAATATTTAGGACTTCAAAAAAGTAAATTGACGGCATTGAATAATTGATAGATGAATGAAGGTGAAGCCAACATGTTAACAACTAAATAGAACTAGCAATAAACTATGAACAGACAAAATGCTCATAACTCTATGACACCACCTACCATTCTGGATGTGTGTGTCGATATATACTTTTGAAGATGATCTTTGGTGATTGTCCTGGCATTTTGTCCTGACATTTAAAGTCAGTCATGTCAAGGTGCTATAAACTGTACCAAGTGAACTCACTATTATCTATTAAATTAACATCATCTCTGGAATACTGTTTTTTTTTTCCTTCAAAACAAGAGATTGGTGATCTGGAGGCTGGAACCTCTGATCTTCTGAAGATTCATATGAAACCATTAATCAAGGAAAATAAGAAGCTTAATTCGCCTTGTGAGCTCCACAATCATGTCATACATATTTGAATGAAAGCAGTGTAAACACGTGTGGGAAGAGAAGTACCCAGCCAACAATGTTGAAGCCCTTCTCAATAAATGCTGCATCAGTGGGTCGCTTTCCACTCGCTACTTCAAGAACCAGAACCCCAAAACTATAAACATCAGTCTTTTCTGTTGCTCTACCGCTTTGCATTTATTCTGCCAGTGAAGTAATACACTCAATTCAGAATAGACTACTTTGAATGCTTATACCAAAATCACAGTAGCTATACTACAGCGTTACAAAATAGAAAAAACTTGGGCCAATGCTCCACATGCCTGCTGCTTCTTCTCAAGTTCAATTGAAAGTCAAAAACTGAAACAGCAGATTTTATCATATGGGGTAACATTGTTCAATATCTTAAACCCAGAAGGCACCCACATTATTCTTTTCTTTCTCGAAATCGTAACTAATGCATCTTCCTGACAACTTTGATGCAGACCATTAAAAAAAAAAGTGAATTTAAAGAAGCAGCAAAATTTGAAAATTTATTGATATCAAGTCAGGATATCCAGTTAGGACCTCGTATGGTTGAATTTTGGTTTTATTTGAGTCCTATTTTATCCTCATGTCATCTAGTTTGCTTTCCCAATTTTATTATGTAATTAGGCAGGGTAACCTCAAACCCACCTATCAGACTGCCCCACATCAGTCTTAGTGAAACCAACATCAAGAGTAGTATTCCCCACTAACAATCTCAATAATAAAGTTTTGAGCATTTGAGTGTCAGCTGTAATTTAAATTGCCTTACCTGGAGCCAGATACCCAAATGTTCCAGCTACAATAGTCCTAATGTGAGATTCCTCATCTTCTAATAATTTGGCTAATCCAAAGTCAGATACTCAAGCCTCAAAATTCCCATCAAGCAAAATGTTACTTGACTTTATGTCACGATATATAATTCGTGGGGAACAATCATGGTGCAAGTATGCCAGCCCTTTTGCAGCTCCCATGATGATATTTAGCCGTGTATCCCAGTCCAGCAGCTCAGATCTCTCTACACATACCAGCAGAACAAAACAATGTTCTCCATATATTCAAGCAGCAAATTTACAGACTGCAGTGGTGCAATATTGTTAAAAGAAAAGCCATAGGTGATGAAAGTTGCACATCTCAAAATCAAAATATATCATACATTCCACTAGGCATCACATGAATTAAACAGCATCAAATGAATCCATAACAATTTTTTGGCCAATCTGGAATCCAAATAAAACTGAGAGCTTCAGATTTTTGTAATATTATTTGTTGGCATATCAGGAATATTGTAAGATATCTGCTGATACATCATGATAGCTTGTTAAAGGTATCAAATAATTGCACATCTTCATTCAGAGCTACAAAAAATGAATTATAATATAATTGTTAACACGGAATAAAGAAGTTCCATTCAAATCCATCTAGAGAACCACCTGATGAGATGAGCACAAAAGATTTTTGCCACACCTTTCTTATGATAAGATGGGTAGGATTTCCAGCCCAACACAGTCAAAGCAAGTCAAGTTGTCAAAAGGAGTCTACTCAATTTTTGGTCAAAGAGGGGCATTAGAAGCAGGCTTCAGAAAACTCAATTTGATCTTTTATAGAAAAGTAACAGTGTAGCACCAAATTAGCTTGGCTTCCACCATGTTTTATTTATGGGAAATAACTCCATTTTTTATCTTTTGGTACTGGGTGACACTTGCATGCAACCCCCAACTCATTTTCGTTTATCACTCAAGGTAATCAGCAATATTTTTGCTTTTCTATTTCATCCTTAGACTAGGTAGTTGTTCTAGACATATCTATTGACACAAGTAATCCATTAGGCAAGCAACTCAAGCCAAACTTTGTTTTCTGTTATCAAAAGAAAAGTACAAAGTCAATCATATTGAGCATCTCCAACGCTAATTAGTCCTGTGGGAAACACAATTTTGTATATTCTGCAAGGTGCACCATCCTGATTAATTGTTAGCTCAAGATAAACAAAGGTTCTTTATTTTAGCTAATTATTTTAAAAATTATTCTTTTTTAATTTGAACCTGAAAATCTCTGTAGACTCAAACCTATACACCTATAGACCGGAGATGACCTTTTAATGGCCAGCCTCCTATACACCGTAGACTCAAACCTCATATCCCTTTGTTAGCTTTATCATTATTGTACAGTTAGCTTTATCATTATTAGTTAGACTAGACTAGCTTTAGCTTTATATTATCCAATTGTATAGCTTTTCTTTATCTTTTGCTTTCGGTGGAAATGGTGGTATCCAATGCCCATCTTCTCTCTATAAAGAGAGACTTCATTCTCTTTGAATACAAAATCAATATACAAAACATTTCAGAGTCTCTCTCTCGCTCTATAGCTTCTCTCACTCTCTCAAAATAATCTTTCAGGTATCAGAGCCCAGAGTTACATTTCTGGCAATTTTCGATTTTGGTGTTTAGTCCCGTACACAGTGGCATACATCAAATCGCTCGGAATTTTCTCACGATTCCAACGGCACCTAGCCCGTTCTCAGAACACCCTCCACGCGCCCACACGCGCCGCCTTTACCTTCTGCGCGTCACCAGCTCCGCCACCACTCTCACACGCGCCCGCACGCGCCATCTGTTGCTACTCACCTCCGCCACGCGCCTCCACGCGCCCACACAACCGCGGCTGACGTCAGCCCTGCCACTCCCGTACGCCGCGCCTGCTATTGTGCGCCTTTCGTGCGCCGCTTCACTACATTGCACCCGCGTGCGCCAAAACGGCTATTGTGCGCCGCGCCTGCGCCTGTTCGCTACCGTGCGCCGCCGCCTTTCTGCTAACGTGCTCCTCCCTACACTCTGCTAACGTGCGCCGTTGACATCATCGCTGACATCATCTCTGTCCAGCAGCCTTTTCTGGCTATTTTCGACCTTCCGGACTCACTGGTACACTCTGTTTTACCAAATTTTGATCCTACAGGTCTCTTCCTGTTACTTTAATCCTACTTAACAAGTATTATGGATCGTCTTGACACCTCCCATCCCATTTTCGTTATTCTGAATGGTTCAAACTATGTTCTGTGGGCCCTAAGGCCCAGTCTTCCTTTCTAAAGGCAAGAAGCTCTGGCGAATTGTCACCGGGGATGTGACTAAACCAGTCAAAGACAGTGCCTACTTGAAACCCTGTTCATACTGCTACATATGAAGACCGACTTGAGGAATGGGACAGTAAAATTACCAAATCATTAACCTGGTTTCGTTAATACCTTGTTACCCTCTATCAGTCTTTCAATTTGGCCGGTTTTCAGCTTGACTCTGTAACTACTCCTGCGAAAGACATCTGGGATTTTTTAAAAGAACGATACCAGACTACTGGTCTTGCCCATCAATAATCATTCAAGAACCAAACTTCACCGCATGCGCCAAGAACCCACTCAGTCCATTAATGACTTCCTTTCTCAAATAATACTCTGTTTGGGATCAGCTTGCTCTTTCAGAACCAACCTGGCTGACCCGAAGATGCGTTTTTATTTAACTAACGCATCGCAACCAGCAAGGTGGTGCAATTTCTCATGCCTTACCCCCCTCTTTTGAAGCCCTATCGTCCTCTCTGCTTCACGCATCCCTTGCCCCAATCTGAATAAGCCCATTTCTGAGTTGTTAGTCAGAGGAACCCGTCTAGGTACTCTTCAAACTATCATGTGAACTCTGTTCTTTGCACTCTCCGTCCCGGCCATCATTTAACCCAGCGGGTCCAACTGCTTGCCTCTATTGTCAGAATCGGGGCCCTTCCTTCAACCCATTCCTGGTACAATTGCCCCGTCAGATCTGCCGCTACTGCAACAACTTGGTCCTGTATCTGCAACAGGATTGTTTTCGCAAATCCATCCCCTCATCTCCAATAGCCACTCTCTCAATCGACGGTGGCTCTTCCCGGGAAGTTTCATCGTTCGGCAAACCGTCTCATACACTCTACTTCTG